AAAAAAAAAAAAAAAAAAAAAAAACAGAAAACTGAAAAGTAGGCTTATGACAATACACATTTAGCATGAACTTGGTTTGGGTTCCACAAGCCATTAGTAGCCAGGGCCTTCGCTGCACAATCTTGGAGAGGTCATTCACATCATTGTGAATGATTGCAGTACCTAACTTCTAACATTATAAACAGCAGTCTTGTTGGTGGTAGTGATTCTCTGTGGGTCTGATTCAAACTTAACCACACGAAAAACTGTCTTGAAAATTCAACTGTTATTTATAACATTCCAAGCTTCACTACTTATATGTTAAAAAATTAAAATGAGAAGACACAAAATATATATTGTAACATTATTACAGGTACTTTCATTCATTTTTAAAGTGCTAATTACAAATATCCTCATTACCATTATCATGAATTTCTCTAATGCTACTAAATGTATTTTTCAGACTAACATTAAATAAGAATAAATATCAGATTCACAACTTTCTTTTTWAAAAAATTTTTAAATTTTTTTATAGTTGTCAATGGACCTTTATTTTATTTATTTATATGTGGTGCTGAGATTTGAACCCAGTATCTCATACATGCTAGGCAAGGTTCTACCACTGAGCTACAACCCTAGCCTCCACAACCTTCCTAACAACTCCACTCACACATTCTTTGAGAAGAAACAACTGGCTCAAAGTCACTTAGTGCTAGATTATCTGTCAATTACTTTATTTGTTTCTTCATTGCTAAAACTATAATAAACATTAAATGAGTTATTACATATAGAATGATTAGAACAGTCATTGGCACAGTCAGGATTTAATAAATGGCAGAAAGTATTACTATAAGCTAGGCCTGATTCTGCCACCCAACCCAGGTGAAATTTCATACAAGCTACAAAACATTCTGGAATTCTACAAAATGACCTGCCTAATATTTAAAAATACTTAAATTCCAGTTCTCAAATATGTTACACTAGTAAATAATTTCCCCATACACACATTAAAATTTTAAATACTGCTATATTTTCTAGGCTACTTGGTAACTATAGAATATACACCAGGCATACAATTAGGAGTAGGGATCCTGATATGTGTGGATGTGACTGAACATCCAAAGTATCATTTAAAGTGGAGACTACATCTTGAACATCAACCAACAAAAAGAATATACTGAAAATAAGGAAAAGAGCCATGAGTGAAATTTTGTTCTGCTGGCACTTCTGACAAATGGAAAAAGAATGAAATAATTTATCTCTCTGTTAGTTTATCTGTGAGTAGAGAGAGACAGTACTAAATACTGAGTAAGACCCCTGAGATTTTCTTTACATTTTTTTCTTCTTCTAAACTAGAATGTTGTCCACAATTACTGTTTTTATATACCATGGACTGCAGTACCAATAAATGTAAGAATTGGCCAATCTCCTAGCATAAACAAGCTCTAATCTGAGGATGGGTGACAATGGCAATGGCTTTTAGATGGGCCCACTTTCACTTTCAAGAACCAATAAACTCAATTGTCTCTGCTTTCTAGAATAATGTTATACACTATAGAGAAGGGCAGGAAATGGAAATTAGTTCAATACATGCACAATTTTCTCACATAATTACAATAAGTAGTGGTTCCTTTGTATACAATATATTTAATAGCCAACATTTATTTAGCACCCAATAATAGATCCAATACTAAGCAGTTGAAAGATATTATAAAGAAAAAGACAATTTTAGGTAGGAAAACTATTTTAAGGACTAGGAAAATACATCATTAAATTCATTTCACTAAGTCCAAGATAAATTCTTGCAAGAAAAAAAAAGAGGACAATAGAATTATTTCATTAGTTATCTTTAAAACACATGAGTAGAATCTGAAATTTAAAATGTTTCACATCAAGAAAATATTCTTAATACTCTCAAAAGTTTTCATTATATTTTTATCTTTTTATTTCAAACCTACAGCAAAATTAAGAACAAAGAACAAAAGTTGGCCCCCTCCCAAAATTAAAAATTATCAAAAAGAAATAAAACTAAAACCTCTTACCTGAGCATGAAAATTGGACATAGTTGTTGTCTCTATATCTTTCTTTCCCAATATCTCCATTTTCACTGGTGAATTGGGAAAATTAAATGAAAAGTAGTCTAAAAAGTCAGGTAAATAAGTAGCTGCCCCATGAACAATACCCATTACATAAAAAGCTGCAGAGTTTTCATTTTCACTGAACACTAGACCCACAAACTCTTCTGCAAACCTTTCCATCTCCATAGGAGACAGGTGGGAGAGTTCATTGCTGTAAGCATGGATAACTGATGCACCTCCATTAGGCTGGTGCTCAATATGAATGAGCTGTTTGAACTCCAAAGTGTCCAATCTTTTGAGGATATTCTGAACTCGTGGCTCTTTTAATGAGACAAATGGAAACTCACTGTTCTCTGGAATTTTGGAGTCATAATTCTTGGTATCCAAATTCTTTCCAATGTAATCCTTTAAGTTATCATTTAAGATACCTTTGGCTTCTTGATCTTCAATATCAGATAGCAATCCTGAGCAAATAGTCTGAATAGATTTGCTATACATTTTTGGACGCTTCCGTTTTTCATTCTCTTTGTGTTTCTTTTTCTTTTTCTTCTTTACCTTTTTAATTTGTAAGTCTTCTACATTTGTTTTTTGTTTCTCCTTCCCACCTGTAGGGAAAAAATATTTTTGAAATTCCATATGTTACTTATTTAAAGAAACATGCTTTAGAAACTGTTTTGTAATAAATAAGAAGTTTACATCTGAAAATTTACTCAGAATTAGTTTTCTATTTAGGACTTATTTTAAACAGTGTTGACAATCAAAATTTAGTTGATTTTTCTCATTCTCTCTTTCTCTACATCTACACACATAACCCATACATACACTATACAGAGGAAGGGTTAGGACCAAATTACAACTAATGATATGGGCCATCCTTTGGAAACACAGCAGATGCTCAATCAGTGTTTACTGCAATAATGAAGTGAATAAATGTTTCAGAAAGTATAATCTTCAAATCTTAAGGACAAAATTCAAAAACGAAAAGTTAAACAATGCTAAAACTAATAATACCATCCAGATATTTCCTGTTATATACATTACTAATTTTACTTTATCTCCACTCTTAAAAATTGTATCCAGATGCCAAGGAAATTTATAAATCAAYAAAGTGGAAAATAACAGTGTAAGTTTAACAGCAATTCCTTAACTTTTTATTTACTCTTTAGTAAACCACTCTTTGTCTAAAATGGGTTATTTTAAATCTACCAAATTTTACAAAGTTCCAAGTGAAGATCCAACAAAGTGCCACAAAGGAGATGACAAAATGATCTCTCCTATCCTAAGCTCAAGGGCCATTCACGTGCTAGTAAAGAGATAAATAAAAAGGTGAATGAGAAAGACTGGTACCTTACAAACTGCACAGAAAGGAGTTTCTATAAACAAAAGCAAGTGGACTCTGGGCTCAGAAATTCAAAGGAAAAAAAAGTAATTCACACAGTTACAGAATCTAAGTATACATAAAAAGCATTTAACATTATCACAGTATATCCATTTCTGTATAATAAGAAGAAAAACAAAAAAAAAATAAAACAACCTTACAAGAAAATATTGTTTCCCAACACGGGGAAAAAAACATTAAGCTAACAGTTGGGAAATGACATTATTTCCATCTATTAACTTTGTTTTGTTTTTTTTGTGTGTGTGGTGCTGGGAATTGAACCCAGGGCCTTATGCATGTGAGGCAAGCACTCTACCAACTGAGATATATCCCCAGCCCTATTAACTTTGTTTTTACAGATAGGCTGCCATGCATAAAATTCTCCCCACTTGCCTCTTCACATAAATTTTTCCACCTTCACATCTCTTATTTCTTCCTCTTTTCAGTGAGACATTCTATTTTCATAAGTAACTCTCTCCTACCAACTCCAAAAAACCTTGCTTAGTAAATTTCTCTCTTCTTCTGACCACCAAACTTCTCATAAAGAACCATCTATGTCCAGTGTCTTTCCTTTATTACCTTACCATTCTTATTGCTTAACTTCTGCTTATTTCTGGTTCTACTTTAGTCTACCCAAACTTGCTTTTCCAAAATTTCCAAAGAGCAAATCCAGCATTTTCTCATATCATCTTCCTGATCTTTTTGTGATTTGACAGAATTATCCAGTATGTCCTTGATTACTTTGGTCTTTCTTGATACCACTGTCCTAATTTACAGTCTAGCAGTCATCTGACTGTCTCTCATCCTGAATGCCAGCAGCACATCAATCTTTCTATATTTTCTATATATTGCTTTGATCATGTTCGTCCCCTGGTATAACTGCTTTCAGGGGGTCTCAATGCCAAACTATGAAGTAGTTTCCTCTTCAGTCTGGAATTCAAAGATGAGGCCCTCAAGAACTTCATGCTCACATGAAACTGCACTACTCACAATCTCTTATAAAACATATCTAGGCTTGGTTTTCTTTCTAATCCTAACAAAAGCATTTCCTCTCCTTAAAATAACCTTTGCCTTGCTCAGTACATACACTGAATTCTTTCTCATCCATCCTTTAAAGAAAACTCTTACATAGTTTCCTTCATGTTGATTTCCCTCATTTCTTCAGTTRGAAGTGAAATGACTCCTAAGACATATAAGAAGTTATTTATTTCACTTGTAGGATATGTGTACAACACATGTTCCTCAGGACATTGTATGAGTAAAACAATGACTTTTCTATGAATTCAGAGTGATACTAAAAAGGTACTGATATTTCTTTTCCATCATTGTATTCCACAAACCATCTAATATAGAGCTACACATAAACACACGACAAATCTATGAATTAAAAAAACTATCTCACCAAAGATTATTTGAAGTTTACAGTTTTTTCCTTGCCTCCCTTTCAATCAAGTTCTTCCACATATAAATTCCACTAAATCTTAAGCCTGGAGACAAAAAAATCATCTCAAGTTGACAAAAAGTCCATAAAAGGGAAGTTTAGTGTTAATAAAAAAAAAAAGGTCACTTTTAAAAATTCAAAGAGATGCTTCCTAAGTATGCAATGAAGAACGAAATGAGTATCACCGTGAAAAGAAAAAATAGAAATCTGTCAACATTTATTTATTTCATAGATTTATGAAATCATAAAATGCAAAGTTAATTTCTAAAGTCTATAAGCATTTAAGAAATATATTTGAATAATGTTAACAAATTCATCCTTGTTGTCTAAGTACAAACTATCAAAACATCAGTTTACAGTTAATATCTTAACAAAATTAATAACAAAAAAATCAAATCATAATAACCCTAATGAAAGATAAAAAGTTTAGATACATAAGTAAAATACAAATAAATCAAGAAAATAGACAGCAATGAAACAAAAAGCAGAATTTAAAAACATTTAAAGGAGACAGACAAAATTAACAGCTTACTAAACCCCACAACTAAAAATACATATAAAATTGCACAAATTAAATAGTTTCCCAAAATAAAACCTATTAAAATAGAAACACTTAATATCAACTAAATTTACACCTACAGATTTAAAAACAGAAAAGAGAACACCTGATCACTAGAACACGTTATTTTGAAATAAAATAGGCAAAAAATAAAGAGAAAATAGACACAACACTTAATCTATTTCTTATCTGTGAGGATGAACTAAGAAAGAAATACTATAATAAAAACCAAAAAATGCAAATCCAGCATTTTCTCATATCATCTTCCTGATCTTTGTGTGATTTGACAGAATTATCCAGTATGTCCTTGATTACTTTGGTCTTTCTTGATACCACTGTCCTAATTTACAGTCTAGCAGTCATCTGTCTCTCTCTCATCCTGAATCTAGTGAAAGATTCTTACATTAAGCACAAAGGAGTTAAATTTCCATGGCAAATTACTTTGCAATTAAATATTACAGTGAGGAATTTGAAGWAAAGAGAATATACCTGAGATTGTGTGCTTGTAAAGTTGGCCCTTGGCTGGTATTTAGAAACTTGTATTTTTAAAGGATTCTCACCATTCCTGGTAACAGCTAAAATATTTACTGTCCCTAAAATATTTGTACAAACAATATGGGGTATGTTGAACACTCGTTTTCCTTCTGGAAGTCTAGAATTTTGTCTATGCTAGGCAGATGGTGCCTCTATAACCAACTCCCAATAAAACCCTGGGCACTGACTCTTTAATGATCTTTCCTGGTAGACAACATTTCACATGTGTTGTTATAATTCACTGCTCAATGAATTAAATGCATCCTGTGTGACTTCTTTGAGCATACTCTTGGAAACCTGCATAAGTTTCCTGCAGGCATTGTCCCATATGCTGTTTTTCTTTACTGATTTTACTTTGTATCCTTTCACTATAATAAATCATAGCCATGAGTACAGTTATATGCTGAGTTCTGTGAGTCCTCCCAGCAAATAGAATCTACAGGTAAGTTTGGGGAATCCCCAATGGACATAGGTATTCTTTGCATTAAACAAAACTGGGGCTTTATCGTTTACTATTATATAATCTCTTTTTTTTTTTAGTTGTTGATAGACTTTTATTTTATTTATTTATTTATTTATTTTTTATTGGTTGTTCAAAACATTACAAAGCTCTTGACATATCATATTTCATACATTAGATTCAAGTGGGTTATGAACCCCCATTTTTACCCCAAATACTTACTCATTTTTTTGTCTCTACATGAGAGGCATCAGATACATATGTAGAAAATTCTAAAATACTTTGAGAAAATAGGATCACCTTAAATATCAATGTTCTCTTGTACTAAAAAGTATTTCAAGTACACATTATAAATCTATAATTCTTCAAACAAAAACAACAAATCAGACCCAATAAAGGTCACTGGTATGTACTTACAGCAGAAAGAATGAAACTGTTCTCTAAGTAAACTTAACTCTAAAAAAATATGAGATTAAAAGTATAAGGTTTATGGAAACACACACATGCACCAGAGCCACAGGCATATGCACATCGTAGACCACAAATATACACACAGAGAACCACAAACACACATTCATAACGTACCATAAACATACATGCACACACAGAGAACCACAGAAACAGCTAGAGAGAGCAGACTAAGCAAAACAATCAAAAACAGAAATGCAGACACACAGCCAGTGAAAAAATGAAACTCATACATAGATAGAAAGAACGACACATAAACAGTACAAATACAGCATGTATTTTTAATGAACAGTTATGAAAAATTACTTTAAAGATCAAAATTACTTTAAAGATCAAAATCACTTTAAAAATAAAATTCACTAATATTAATTCCTACTACCAACTTTAGCATAGTTTTACATTTAAAACAGTGAAAAATACACATTACCCAGAAAACTGGATCATATTTCAAATGTGATGTAGGAAATAACATATACAACTCCACTGTATATAGAAAACAAAGTAGTAATTAGCTTAGCAATTTTCAACCTTTGGTCTTTGGAAAATAACTTCGATTTTTCACACTACAATGCTGTCACTCCTTCTGCCATGGCTAACCTACCTGTGATTTTTTTTTTTTTTTCCCTTATAGTAGGGATTGAACTCAGGGATACTCAACCACTGAGCCATATACCCAGCCCTATTTTGTATTTTATTTAGAGACAGGGTCTCACTGACTTGCTAGCACCTCGCCGTTTTTGAGGCTGGTTTTGAACTCATGATTCTCCTGTCTCAGCCTCCCAAGCTGCTGGGAATATAGGTGTGCGCCAAGGCCCCAGCTACCTATGATCTTGAATACACTACCATTATACTTGAACACTGACTTTTTTTAACCCCCATTCTTCCTTCTCAGAGAACCTCATCGAGCTTCTCTGATACACTACAATAATAAAATTTATTCCCCAAAATGCTATAATCATAATATGTATGTTCTCACAATTCAGCCTTAAGAAACCAGATAAAAGGCCAGGGTTGTGGCTCAGTGGTGGAGCGCTTGCCTAGCATGCGTAAGGCCCTGAGTTCGATCTTGGGAATCACATAAAAATAAACAAATAAAATAAAGATATTGTGTCCATCTACAACTATAGAAATATTTTAAAAAGTAAAGAAAAAAACAGATAAAAATGACTGGAACACATACATATACTAAAATACAACAGTTGGTAAACTTCAATATAAAAAATGAGACCCACTACATAAGTTTCTTTTTAAATTTTTTTTATTTCTTTTTTTTAGGTATTCATGACAGTAGAGTGTATTTTGACATACTTACATGGAGTATAACTTATTCTAATTAGGATTTCATTCTTATGGTTATACATCACATGGGCCCGCTAAATAAGCTTTTTTTTCAAATTCATTTGTTCTTTTAAGCTATTTCTATAATTCCATTTATCAATAAAAAGGATTTATTAAGATTTTTGCATTGAAAACATTTTAGCATGTATATAATTATATATTTTTATACACATGCATTTATTTACTTTCATATAAAACAAAATTTTTAACAAAAACCTTCAGGAAATGAGATTAATATGAAATAGTTATCATTTATATTTTCAACCACTACCATCAAACAATGCCTGTGTGTGTTACAGCTTGCATCATTAAAGTTACCAGAAGAACATTTTAAGAAAAGAGCAAAAGCTGGAGACCAAAAAGGAAATAGGGCACATGGTATAAAATGATAGCACATTGCCCCATAAAACTGATTCTGTTGTTACTCCAGAATACCAAAGACAAAAAAATGTCCTTTCCAKACCAGAGGCTCACTTGGGAAATGGCCACACAAGATGAGCAAATTGTTTTTGCTGGAAAATAACAATAGCTAACATTTACTCAGTACTTACAATAGGACAGTCACTATTTTCCAAATGAATCATGTTTTTATTCATTTAATTATCTATGTACTTCACATTGAGGAGAGGACATAGTTTTAGTTTTGTTGTTTCTTTTAAATATACTTATAAGATTCATATTCACTTACTGAATATCTGGGGCCAGACATTATACTCAGCATTTATCTCACAGTTTCTTTCATATAAATCTTCACAATCCTAGAAAAAAGTAACTAAATTATTACTCACCTCCATTGTACAGTGTTACAGTTTGGATGTGAGGTGTCCCCCAACAGCTCACATGTGAGACAATACAAGAAGGAGAAATGATGAGGATATAGCCTTGGCCTAATCAGTGAATTAATCTCTGATTGGATTAACTTAAGTGGTAGGGTGTGGTTGGGGGAGATGGGAATTGAGGCATGACTTTGGGGTATTTATTTGTATCTGGCGAGTGGGGACTCTCTCTGCTTCTTGATCACCATGACATGAACTGCTTCCCTCTGCCATACACTCTGCCATGATGTCCAGCCTTATCTCAAGGAGAAATGCAGCCAGCCTTCTATAGACTAAGACCTCTGAATCTGTGAGCCCTCAAATAAACTTTTCCTCCTCTACAGTTGTTCTGGACAGATCCTCTACTCACAGCAGCGAAAAAGCTGACTCAAACATACGTTAGATAGAGTAAATTTCTCTAAATTTTTCCATGGTCATTCTAGAAGTCACAAATTTATTTCTAAATCTTTCTCATTCTTTCTTTTTTAACATCACTAGTTCCACTTTAATTCAGTTCAAAATACCTCCTAAATGTGTTATCCATTTCAAAGTTAAAGTTAATATTGCATGTTCCTACAAAAATCTCCATTTTTTGGCCGTTTTTAATTTTATTTGCATACATAAACTCTAGACTCACATATTCACATTAACAGTGTATTAGAAATCTACTATTCAACCAAGAACATAAGAACCTTTAATTTCTAAGACATAGATTCTTTCAAGTGACAGAAATTTACATCCCTGTACTTTCAAATAGATAAGAAAATGAGTATATCTGTAAAAATGACTAATTGACTAAACCAACAAAGTTATGAAAACATTTCAAGAATTAATCATTAGTTGCTATATAGTACTAGTTTGGTTAGAATCAATTCCTGACTTTAAGACTTACAATCTAATTAGGTAACATAGATAAAACATAATGGCAGGGCTGGGGATATAGCTCAATTGGTAGAGTGCTTGCCTCAAATGCACAAGTCCCTGAATTCAATCCCCAGCACCACAAAACAAACACACACACACACACACACACACACACACACACACACASAGAGGCAAAAGAAACAGAACAAAAGGATAAAGAATATTAACTAAATAGCAATCAACTTAAGTCTGACATCTTTCTTCAGGAGTAAAAGAATATTATAGAAAATAAAATTCTGACATATACAAAACAGACCTTACATAAAGTACTATCAAAGAACATCTGGGGGCCAGGGTTGTGGCTCAGTGATAGAGCACTTGCCTGGCATGTGTGAAGCCCTGGGTTTGATTCTCAGCACTGCATATAAATAAATWAATTAATTAAATAAAGGCCCACTGACAATTAAAAAAAAAACATTAAAAAAGAACATCTGGAAACATGACAAAGAAGGAAATGAAAATAAAGTCTAACTATATTTATCTTAAATATTATAAATTAACCAGTTATTTTGTGTACACGCAGTGCAGTAGGCTTTTTTCCTTATATAGATATAAAGGCTTGCCAACACATAAATTCAAAATGAAATTAATCATGGTCAACATGTTCTGATCAGCAACTTGATCTATTAACTTGATAAAGGCCAATGACTTTCCTAGCTGTCTAACAAATGAATGCCACTGATTCTTCCTTTATTGCTATCTGTGTGAATTTAAGATTCTCTGTACATGTATTTCAGCATAAATTCTCTACGAAAAAGTTCAGATTAAATGAAAAGACATATTACCCAACTATCTATCTATCCTTAAAATTATTCTCCCCAAGCTACCCCACATAAAACCAGTACCTGAATGCAATTATACCAAAAAAGAAAACAAGAAACAAAAAAGATATTCTTAAGTATGTAATAAATAAACATACAGTCACAGTATCCCTTCTGATTATCTTCCCTCTCAATTCCAGACTATGATATGGTAATTAAAGTCAAATATTTGTAAGATCACTTCTTTTCACCATCCTTATCAGACTAAAAATTGCTTTACACTTTTATTTTAGATTATCTAAATATGGATAAACACTAATAATACAAATACTGGTCAGATAACTTATTTTAAAATTATTTAAGGAATCTAATAGTTTAGTGAAGTTTAACCTTGAAACCTTAATGATTCACTAAACAAATACCAAATACATGTTACATGCAGATCTGAACTCCCTATATTTTTTTATTTCCTCTCCATTAATGTTCATTCTTATCAAATATCAGTACAACATAGCATTTCCTTATTCTAATCACAATATGTACAATATAGTGAAACAAAATTCACTGAATATAAACTTACTTTTCAGTAAAATCTTTACTTCTCCATTCTCTTTCTTGATCTCACTCATTACTTTATGCTTCTTTTTTTCTCTCTCTTTTTCTTTGTCTCTCTCTTTAATTTTGTCTCTGATTTTATCTGAAAGACAAAATAAACAAACTATTAAAACTTAATTTTTTCCTCCATGAAATATGGTTCAATTTCTAGAATTGCAATACACAATAAAATTAGAAAAAAAAATGTGTCTTTTTCTTCCCATTAGGCTTTGGGAACTATTTCTCAATTTACTTTCTTATTGAATATGTAATATATAATGTCAAAATTTATCATTTTACATTTCCATTAATTTCATGTCAGCCAAAATACATGAATTTCAAATCACTTTAAATAACTGGCTATCTTTAATTGAACAGAAAGCTACAGTACAGAAGTGCTAGCTCTGAAATTGGGCTTATCTGTTTTGGTTAACATAATATTGGAAAAATTACTCAACATAAGTTTCATAATCCATAAGATGGTGGTAGATTCTTTCCTCATAGGATTATAATAAGGATTAAACAAAAAAAGATATCAAATGACTACAGAAAGCTTGGCATTTATATGAATAGATGTTAGTTCATTTATTCTATTACCTTTCAAGAATACAACTGATAGGGATCACTAGAAAAATTATGATATTGAAAGATACGGCATAAGAATCACTCAATGATCAACATTCTAAAACTTAAGCTTATAAAATATGATATCCTATTAATCTTGTTTGTTCAAATCAATTTTCTATGAACCTACCAGAAGACACAGAGAAGAATGTAAAAATAATAGTGACATAGTTCTTGCCTTCAAAAAGTGTTTTTATTGATTACAAAGCCATGATGGAAAGACACACAAATGTAAAATATGCTCTATTTATTAATAGAGTTTATGTAAGATACATGCATAATTCAAAATCTCTTAAAAAATACTCCCTACTTTCCTTTCTATAAATATTACACTAATCTAGGTCCTAATCACTAATGATTAGATTACTATCTCAACCAGCACTGTCCAACAGAAATATAACACCCACCATATGTACATTTACAATTTCTASTAGCCACATTAAAAATGTAAAAAGAAAATGGTAAAAATAATTTTAATATATCCAAGCATACCATAATTTCAAATGCAACTGACATTCAAAAATTATTGAGGTATTTTGCATTCTTTCTTCATAAATTTCAAAATCCAGTATGTATCAGTTTACACATATGATACATCCCAATTTGAATTAGCTCCACATGAAATGTTCAATAGCCACAAAAGACTAATGCCTACCAACCACACGAACAACCCACATCTAAACTACTTAAATAGCTAAATTCTCAAAAAATTAAATCCATGTGCCTTGATAAAAATGCTTTTAAGCTTCACCAAAATACAAAATAAAAGACAACAATATTTTTATTTTTTTTGTATTTATTTTTTAGTTTTTTTTTTTTAGGTGGACACAATATCTTTATTTTATACTTATGTGGTGCTGAGAATCAAACCCAGTGCCTCACRCATGCAAGGCGATCGCGCTACCACTTGAGCCACATCCCCAGCCCAACAACAATATTTTTACCTATCATACTGACAAAACTTTTTTTTAAAAGTGGTAACACCTGTGAATCAACCAACACAGGTATGTAGACTCAACAAACAGACAATGGTGAATGTAAAGAAAAGGGTTAGAGATGCAGAGTAAATAAGCTAGATAGATAGGCTCCTTGTCTGTTCACTTTTAAGTTAAATTCTAAACAGATTAGTCTATTCTTGTATTTTCCCCCTAGAGATACTGGCATTTTTTAATTGACACATAAAAATTGTACAGATTTATTAGTATACTATGTGATGTTTCAAAACATGTACATTATATAATGTTCAAATCAAGGTAAGCATATCTACCTCTGTGATGTAAATATTCAAAATCCTTTCTTGATTTTTCTGAAATATACAGTATTACATTGTCATTATTGTTACCCACTGTCCTTTAATAGAACACTAGAATTTATTTCTCCCAACTTAATCCCCACTGACCAACTTTTTCCCACCCTTCCAGTCTCTGATTACCAATATTCTACTCTCAATTTGTATGAAACGAGTGTTTTTAGATTCCACAAGATCATGCAATATTTGTCTTTCTTCACCCAGCTTATTTCACATAACATACTGCTTTCATTTCCATCCAAGTTGTCATAAATAACAGGATTTGATCCTTTCTTATGACTGACTAGCATTCCAGTGCATATGCATCACATTTTCTTTATCCATTCATCAACTGATAGACACTTAGCTGAGTTCCTTATATATACTAGATATTAATCCCTTGCCATATGTATAGTTTATAAATACTTTCTCCCRTTATGTAGGCTGTTCCTCCACTTGATTGTTTCCTTCATTCTTTCATTTCTGATTAGTTTGCTACTATTACTTTCAGAGATTTAAAGTCCTTGAATTCCTGTCACTGGTTGCCATAAAGGAATAAAATATTAGTCCAAATGGCTGGAGGTCAGGCACAGATATAAATTAACATTTCTCAACAAACATTTTTAAAATAAGCTATTTATATCATTGAAAAGAACTGAGGAAAACAGTTCTCTAAAATACTTCCACATTTCTCTATCCAATCATCCAGGTTATTAATCTGTGTTATTTCAATAACTATTAAACCTTTTAAAATTTATTCAAGTATAATATACAAATGTAAAAATGTATGCATGTTACAGCTCAATATTCACAAAAATAAACACACTTGTGAAACAGCACCACAGAATCCCTTCGTTCTCTTTCTACTCTTCAAGTAACACTCCTGCAGATAACAACAATCATGACTTTTAAGCACATACATTAAAATAACTAGACTTTTAATGTCATATATTCATTCATATGTTCATATTCGTAGAGTCTATCACAACCACAAAATATAAATATTTTTCAGAAAAAATAAAACTGGGAAATAAAACTGCAATACAGTATGACTCCATTATTTTTAAAATTTACAAATTAATACACATATACTCAGAAAACAGAATGAAAGATAATAGCCCAAATTATTCAAAGTCGTCATCTTTAGCTGGTAGACAATTTCTAAGTTTCTGATTGAGCATATATTAGTTTTTGTTTATTCTAATTAGGTATATATGACAGCAGAATGTATATCGACTCATTATACACAACTTTTCATTTCTGATTGTACACGATGCAGTGTCGTACCATATGTGCAGTCATACATGTACCTAGAGTAATGATGGCCATCCTATTCCACCATCTTTCCTGCCCCCATACCCCCTCTTCACCCCTCCCTCCCGCTTGCCCAATTAAAGTTCCTCCATTTTTCCCAGCCCACATCTGTGCATCATGGATTAGCATCCACTTATCAGAGAGAATATTTGGCCTTTGGTTTTTTGGAACTGGCTTACTTTGCTTAGCATGATATTCTCCAACTCCATCCATTTATCTGCAAATGCAATAATTTTATTCTTTTTTAATGCTGAGTAATAGTCCATTCTGTACATATACCATAGTTTCTTTATCCATTCATTTATTGAAGGGCATCTAGGTTGGTTCCACAGTTTAGCTACTGTGAATTGAGCTGCTATAAACACTGATGTGGCTGCATTACTATAGTATGCTAATTTTAAGTCCTTTGGGTATAGACCAAGGAGTGGGATAGTTAGGTCAAATGGTGGTTCCATTCCAAGTTTTCTAAGGAATCTTCATACTGCTTCCAGATTGGTTACACCCATTTGCATTCCTACCAGCAATGTATCAATGTGCCTTTCCCCCACATCCTCCTTGTATTCTTGATAACTGCATTCTGACTGGCATGAGACAAAAATCTTAGAATAGTTTTGATTTGCATTTCTCTAATTACTAGAGATGTTGAACATTTTCTCATATTATTTGTTGATCAACTATATATCTTATTGTGAGAAGTGTCTGTTCAGCTTCTTAGCCCATCTATTGATTGGGTTGTTTGGTTTATTTTGGTATTAAATTTTTTGAGTTCTTTATATAGTCTGGAGATTAGTGCTCTGACAGTACATATCAGTTTTATAACACAAGAAAAAGAGTTTTAGAATATGCATTTGAGTATGACATTAAAAAGTTCAAGTAAAGATAAGCGGAAGATATTGCCGMGACCCCTCGCCAGCAAAGGAAACACGACACAGGATTCTTCCTTCAGCAGTTTATTCAGGCCTTTCTCTCTCTACTCCCGTGTGCCCCAGCCTTAATAAAGCAGATAAAGCCCCAATGCACAACTGCCACGTGGACTTTTCTCATAGGGTGCCAAGTCACAGCGTGCCAACTCATTCTGATAAGGAGTTGTTTGTCACAGACTACAGCGGAGACCAGCGCCATCTTGTAATGGCGGCCACAGTACACAGAAACGGCTCACCACAAGATATGATATCATTATATGAAAAATTTATATAGAAACAAAAACAATGGCATAGCCAAGACAAGAGGGTTACCAATGACATAAGTGCAGTGGTGATTCCCCACACCCCAAACCTTTTCAGCAAATATAAATTATCCTACATATACATAAAAGCATTTTTGTAGCATTATTGCTGCCCAAACCATATAATTTATTGTGTTCCCACCTCTCAAGCTATTCAACCTACCTCTCATTCTCCAGAATTTTTTACTCTTGTCAGAACACATCCTTTTTTTTAATTATTATTATTATTTTTTTAGTTGTTGACAGAACTTTATTTATAGATGTGGTGCTGAGAATCAAACCCAGTGTCTCACACATGCCAGGCAGGTGCGCTACTGCTAAGCCCCAGCCCCAGCCCCAGCCCCAGGGCCAGGCCCACCCCAGCCCCAGCCCCAGCCCCAGTCCCCAGAACATTTCCTTTTTGAAAATCCAACCTTAAATGCTTTCATTAAATTTCCTGTAATTATGTTACATGGTACAACTATGATCAAGTGGGAAGCCTATGTGCTTAAAAGACTGAGGTCCAAGTTTAAAGTCTGCAACCTTGATAACTGACACACTTCATATCTCCAGTTTTGGCTAAAATTATGTTTACATAGATTAAAAAGAAAATCTCAAATCTGCCTCTAYTACACTATAATGTATTCATATTTACGAAAGTCACTTCTAGATC